TACACACACACACACACACACACGCACACACACACACACATATATATATATATATATATATATATATATATATTGCGTAATTTATGTACTATAGATAATCAAAATGAAAAATAAAATGAAATATAAAATTTTTTATTATTGTTGCTTACAAAATTTGTTTTAAAAGTATACAAACCTCTTTTTCTGCCCAACGAACGCAGTTTAAAGAAAAAGCTATTGGGTCTACCATTAAAATCTTCCAACATCAAAACTTTCTTGACTAAATCGTATGAAGATATTATGACGATCTTCTGTGTACCTAATTTTAAACCTAAAATTGGTCCATAATTTTCTGATAGTTTTTCAAACGCTAAGTGTATGTAGCCCAATTTTTTTCGTAATACATAATACTGCGGAAAACATCCAATAAACGGATACCATTTTGGACCTAAATTTCATTTGTATTAATATTGTGAAATAAAAATGTTATTTAATTACTATGCATACACACATGCTCGTTTATATGCACTTGCGTATATGTATGTGCGCGTGTTCCATTTCATACGAATTATGATTTAGTAATAGTTTATAAATTGAACAAATTAAATGAATTATATATTATATTAATACATACGAGATTATATAAAAATAATGACTAATCTATAAGTAATTTAGTAAAGCATATAACTTTACAATACGTGAAACTCCATGTATAAAAACAGAAATTATTAGAACAGAATATAAAAGAAATTTTATTATATTTATTTTTAATTATAATAAAAAAGAAATTTTTTTAATTTAAAAAAAAAGAAAGTAAATCACACAAGTAAATCATACATTAAGAGTGTAATAGTCAGCAAGAATTATAGGCATTAATTGCAACATTGGTGAAGTTTTTCTCTTATAAAGTAAATAATATTTTATATTCTTATATTATCTAATTAATTGTCAAAATTTTAAAAATGTTCTATTTTAAAAATGATTATCTTAATACGAAATCTGTGAAAGTTTCACGAAACATGTTGCTAATTAACACAAATTTTAATGACATTACTTATTATATTCACACAATGGTAATGCAGTTTAAGAAAAAAAATTATTGAGCAAATAAGAACGCACTGAAAAAAAACTGATTAATTACCAAAAAAATAATAAATAATTTTATAAAATTTCAAACCTGGTGGAAAATTTTTTGGCTTTATGCAGCTGTAGCAGTATATCACTAGAACCACTAGAAATATATAAATGATCATGTCAAGCATCTTGTTCACAAGCTTATACTGGCATCAGTCAGAGAGACGATTTTGATTTTATACTTGTGAAAGCTCGAGAAGGAATAAGCATTGAAAAAAGAAATGAACAATGCGCACTCGTATTGATAATACGGCATTAACATTCATGCCCTTCGGACTAAAATAACTGTTTTGTCATATTATAATGTAGGCCTTGTGAACACTCTAATACTATTCTAAGATTATGGTTTATTCTAGGAAATTTATTCATTCGTGTGGAGAAAACATTTCCATATTCTTGTCAAAGAAATAGTTCAAAGGCTACAGAAAGCTTTATTTAGTATAAGCTAAGCTTCATAATTATTATAATTAAAAATAAATGAATGTAATGAAAAATATTGAAATTTAGAACAAAATTTTTTTTATTAAGTTTATCATGATTGATAGGACAACTGATTCAAAATTAAGTTGTAATTCACTCATGTGTAATGAAGTGAATAATGAAAATTCATTACTTGTTATTTCATTATTCTATTTTCACGAATATCTTTAAAAATCGCGTGAAATACTGCTCTGTAATTTCTATTTTTATTCTTTGAATATCAATTCGAAGATAATAGAAATTTTTTGACCTGCAATGTCAATTAATTCAAACTAATTTTAATATTGTTTTTTTTTTCTCTTTTAAATTTATTAAAATGTATTGCTTATACAAAGTATAACTTTCTTTTTCTTATATTGATTTATCTTTTTAGCTCTGTTTATTACTACCGCTATTTATACATTTTGTATTATAAAATTATTGACATTATTAATATGCATGTAATGATTCATTTTCCACTTTTATGTAGTTATCTGTGAATTGTATGGAGTGCATTTTCTAAGCATAATATCTTTTCGACTCATTGAAACTAATTTTTAATCAATCAATACTTCAAAACGTTTATCGAATATAAATTAAATATAGCATTATAATACAAATATTTAAATTGAATGATAATTAATGTATTTCGTAGGTTTGGAAGATTGTATAATTTTAAAAGGAAAGGACGTGAATTTAAATTGTTTGATTCTTTACTTAATAATAAAGAAAGTAAAGCTTATATAGATATAAACATTTATGGAGTTATATAGTAATATTCTTAAGATTTGCCATCTTTTATTCATGCGCAAACCCAAAAATAATTATACAATAATGAGTATTCAAATTTGTTGTAGTACGTATATCTTATGCATACAATCTTTACAGTTTATTCAATCACTTTACACATACTTCTTATTAAGTATATTATCCAATTACAAGATATTAAGTTAAAATACTAATATTTCAGTATTATTGATTATAATATTATGTCTTTTATAGAGTGTTTTATAAAGTGTCTTGAAAAAAAAAAAAAAAAAAAAAAAAAAAAAAAAAAAAAAAAAAATTAATACATTACAAAAAATTAATTAAAAAATGGGAAACGTAGTTAATCGTTTTTTTTTTTAAATAACAGCCTCTTTACCGGTAATTATATTGATAACAAGTTATTTTTATAATATAATTACAAGAGTGCCTTACGCATATTTATGACTAAGCGAAATCAAGGAAAGGACACTCTGGTATGACAACTAAAGATGAAAGTGATACCTACTCGATATGCCACGTGCGATTCGCTAAAACAATAGAATTTGCCTGCTGCGTGTTGTGCTTGAAACACGTGTTGAGCTTAAAACATGTGTTTTCACGCGACTAGCTCAAGTAAAATTGTATAATCTGTAGGAGACAGCACGATCGACAATAAAAGAAGAGAAAAACAAAACGATTGTGGCCCCCTTAGAATTTCGACGAACCCAATTGAATTGCTCTAATGTAAGCATGAATATATTTAGTCCACCATAAAAGGAAAAATATTTTCTCTCATTAAAAGGCAAAGGACGTGGCGTTCGTAAACATTAGATGCAAATGGTATGTTTGAACCAGATATACGTTACATGTGCATCTCTGCTTCCTCGCTTGAAAATCGTGTAAAACTTATGTATTGTGAACTGAATTGAATATTGCTTATTTTATTATTACGATACAAGAAAATTATTAGAATGTTTCAATTTTCAATTGGTATAGTTCTATTATTCGTTTAATTAAAGTAACGTTTATTTAAAAATGACAAACTATTCCTAGAGTTAAGCTACAGCACTAAAAAATATATTTAAATATTCTTTAATCAAATTATTAAAGTATTTGATAATTAAATCGAATAATTATATTTAGAAAATAGAATAAAAATAATGTAAAAATTGGCTACAAATGAATCGTTGTCATTTATTATTATTACTATTTTTTTCTAAATGCATAAACTAACGAATTAAATTTGACATCTTGGATATCCTGGATATCCTGGATATAGATGATCCGTAAAGATAAATCATAGAGATAAAAGAGTGAGTAAATGGTATAACTCGGTAATGGATTCATAGAGAATGTCAGTATAAATATAGGAAATCAAATAGCTATGGTATTTCGTAAAATTGACGCTTTCAGATTTTTCTAAACTCAGTCCGATTATGACGTGTCGTTAGACTTCAGCAGTATCCTACCATCGCAAGTTATGAATCTTCTGTTTCGTGACACGTAAGTTCGTCAAGTTTAGACGTCTTTCTTTTCGGTGCCGCTTATTTGAAATGCAAAATTGTGCGTACCACACTCATACCTTTTTTCTCGTCGATGCTTTAAAAAAGAAAGAAAAAAATTATCGCTAGATTCTTGTAATGAATTCATTAAGCAGCAGTCAAGGGATTAACTAGGAAATAATATAATTTATAGGTATATATACTTTAACAACGGAGAAGTATATATAGTAAATTAATACGTGTGAAGTAGTGAGGGTGATTTTTGAAATATTATACGCAGCCGAATTCTTTAAGACTCTTTATGATTAAAATTCGAACAGTAATTTTATTAATGTTTTCAATACCGTATATATCGATTTAATTATTTAATCTAATTCACTTAAGTTTTTGCAATAGTTTTATGTTATTATTATGTAAAATTGTTATTGTTATTCTTTAAAAAAAAAAAAAAAAAAGGCAACTGTTTACGCATAAAAAATGACGAATTAATAATTATTCATTTTTTATATTCAAGTAGGTCGGCCTTTGACATGTTTTAACAAGATGTTTTAACAAAATTAATATGGACTACCTTATATGTAATAAGACACATTGGGTTTCATACTAAAAATAGCTTAAAAAAATAATAAGAATCAGACTCTAAGAAGTAAGAATTCAAAAAAAAAAAAAATAATAATTCATCATGATCATTGAAATTACTGCAAAAATGGAAAAATAATCGATATTTATATCGTTATATAAATTTTATTAGTATAAGTTTTTACCTTTGAAAAAGGCGAAGCTTTCTTAACATTAGACATTAATATCTAATTACTATACATATAAAAGAATATTATTTTCGTATTTTTTACTTTAATTTTCTTAAGAACAGAGTTAATAAAAATTAGAATTTAAAAACAATTAAAAATCATGAAACACTTACAAAGTTTCCAACAGTGTCACCTGACCGATCATTAACTACGATCATGAAAATGATATTAAAATCTGTTCTGAATTATAAATTCAAAATAACTTTAATTCAATTTGATGTAGAAAAAAAAAAAAAAAAAAAAATTAAAAAAAAAAAAAATTAAAAAGAATCTTCATAATAATCATAAAAATGTCAATTTATTTTATCTAGCAAATGATGTGTAATAGCAAGGAATTCGTAATTTCTCATTCTTCTAGGAATATAATATATTGACAAATCTTTATTCAAAAATACAACCGGTTCTTCCATAAAATATTGTTTTCTTTTTAATTGATTTCACCACAAATTTCATATGTCTTATTTTATACGATACAGCACAAAATATACTCTATGTGTCTCTAAATCTATGCTCCTCGACAGCCGAAGCATAATATTAAGTTAGGAGGATAATGTAAAGCACGTAGGCGCATTAACTGTGCACAGATTACGAAAGTTCTTTCCACCAGGAGAAAGAATTTCACGCTAAGTTTCTGTGTCATTTCTTTTGTTTTGCGATCGTGATTTTTACTTGTTCTGTATATACGTAGATATTTTTAAAATATGTAAATACTTAATTGAAAGACCATTTCTATAATTAAAAATCAAAATAGAAAGTTAGGGTTTTGATTATTAGTGATTTAGAAACTAATTGTATATTTTTAATGTAAACTAATGTTATTTAATGGAGTATAGAATTGACAATAATTTTCTTATCAATGTCAACGTGGAGACAATTTTACCAATGATTAAATTAAGACAGCTATGACGTTATTCACGGTTGACAATTGTTTGTATGCGATTATGCCGTTTCATTAAATAACTTTAAACGCCATAAACTTCATTATTTGCATTATCTACATTTTATAAATATATTGAAAATCAAATATTTGAATTACATTAAATGCGCTGTCAAATTCTAGTTTGAATCTTTAATGCCTATTCAAAGACACGAAGATAAAATGATAAAATACCTTTGCGTTTTTTTTTTTTAACATATTTACCTCCGGATAAGATATATAAAGATCTAACTAAATTTTAAATGATATAATAATATTCGGATTCACAATTAATCGCGTATAATTTACATTATAATACATTACAAAATAGCAGCATTGCATGTCGTAATGGTTAAAAATATTATATTAATCATAATATTAAGTACATTGTCATATAATGATAATTTTTGTAATGAAAATTAGATTTAAATAATTGGAGATTGTTAAGATGACAATAGTTAAAAACTCTAATAAATATAATATTAACCAATAATTGTAAGATTATTATAAGATTAATTTATGGAATAATTTATGACTATTAGCACTGAACTAGGATTAATTATTTTAAAAATTTTCACCTTTATTTAGTTCAATTATTATAATATAAGTTTAAATATATTTTGAATAAATGTAATGTAAATATAAATATGTGAATCGATAAATAATGTTGGGATAGAAATAGAATACAAAAAGTACAAAAAAATAGACAAATGTTATATAATTTTATAAAACAAAATTGAAATATGGTAAAAAATTGAAATAAAAAAATATTATTTATCCTATTGAAATAATTTTACTTTATAAACTACTTGAATATTATAAACTACTTGAAGTTCAGAATTAATTCTAAAAGCAAATAATCAATACCTTTATTTCGATAACTTTTGAATTAATTACAATTTAAAATCATCGATTACCAAAATAAAAAAAAATATATATATATATTCGAATCCGATCGAGTTAAGCAAATTAGCATTGAGATATAAGAAAGTTATTGGTGTATTTAAATCTACGTTGACATAAATTGATTAATTTACATATTAAAAATGAAAAATTGCATTTACAAAAATATAATGTACAGGTTGATATAAGAATATTTAGTTTCATATATTTTTTCATGAATACAAACGAAAATCCTTAAGAAGAAAAGCTATTTATTCGTTTGAAATAAAAAGCCAATAATCACCTATCTAAATCAATTTAAAGAGTACCGGTTATAATAATTCCAATATGCCTATATTTAAGTTTAATTGAACGTTAATTTTAAATGGCACTGCAATTATATAAAACAAAGTAAAAACACTTTGTTGCTTGCATTTGAATCATTTATATCATTAATATTAGAAATTCATATAATCTAAGCCATACGTATTATGCATCCGTTGAAAAAGTTATAAATATTTGCAACTTAATTTTCATCTCACGTACTAGTTAGTGGTGAAGCTATAAAGCATAGCACAACTCATCACTTTCTTATTATGTAAATATCAAAAGACTCTGAGCACAAAAGATAGAAATAAATTTTCTCGCATATTTTTCTTTCCCGTTAGATACACCGCGCAAAAGGACATATAACTCGAGTGCGAATTAATTTATGGACAAGAGCAAGTGTGGGTGCCTCCGGTTACCACGCACCGTATATCTTTACTTTCACTGGAGGGCCAATCCAGTTTTCTTCTTCTGTCATAATACTTTCTCTCTTTGCACTCACGCACCAAGAGCAAACGAATATATGCGTGTATGTACATAGAATAATGCACTCAAAGTATTTGCATTATTATATTCTCGATTTTTTTTTCATTACGCAATATATGTGAAGAGTACCTTGTGGTTTTTGATGCGGTGAATCGTTGTTAATGCGAGTGAAGGCGAGCAGTATTCAAATAATTATGTAAGCAATCCATATTAGTCTATTAATATATATTAATCACAGTAAATAATATTAGCCAACAATAAAATGTATATATATATATATATATATATACAATCAATTGAATGTTTTATTTATCATTGTTTCCATTGATTTTCATGTTATGTAATATTATTTAATGCAATTTGCATACATGTTTTAAAAATTCTGAGCCTCCTAATTTTCATGACAATAATATAAAGTAGTTTTAAAGAAATGTTTATTCGCGTTGTTACAGGATACTATTATTGTTATGATAAGTAAATCTTCATACAAGTCAATGCAGTATAATTAAAATTCAATGGTAATATCTAAATTACAAATGATACTTGCATTACTTTATAGAAATATTGATAAATAAAAAATATACTAAATCTGTAGGCAAAAAAAGCTTATAGTTAATATTAAGTTATTGTGAGGGTGAATTTTGAATAATCAATGAATTCTATTTTAACAAAAATTAATCAACTTTATTCGATAGCATTAGTTAACAACATATAAAAAAGCATATGCGGTCGAGTATAAAAAATTTAGGAGAAATTTAAAATAAGTATCGCTTGCCCGACAATGCTCGAAATAATAAAGGAAGGAAAAATAATAAACATAAAGAAAGTTATGAGGACACAAGTAAACAAATATAAAAAAATATAGATATAAAAATAGATAAATAGAAGGGCCCTTCGGTCGATTATATATCGAGACATATATATATATATATATATATATATATATATATATAATCATAATATTTCATTTTACACACCTTAATAATTAATATGTACAGTGGCTTATTATAATACAGCGTAAATAATATATCTCATTAGAGAATATATCTCAATTTTGTACAGGTTGTCATTCTATTTCTCTTAATATTCTTTAAAGAAAAATTCAACAGATTTTTCAGCGACTGGGAAAGCTGACGCTCTGTTTTTTTTGTTCCGCTAATTGAACTAGCGGTGGTGGTACAAGATCTTGCGTGATTGACGATAATTGAGAAGCTGGTGCTGCAGTTAGTGATTGCGTCATTTGAAACGATCTGTCCCACCTAATTGGATTAGCGCTGATTTGCTGCTGTGGTTTTTGTAGCTGTACTGATTGCTGATTAATTTGCTGTACCGGTGTTTGCTTCGATACCGTGTCCTTTCGATCTTTCCAGCCATGATCGTGATGGTCTTCGGCTGGGAACCACTCGGATATCCAAACTGGCTTCCAAATCTTTTTCCAATCTGGAACCCAAATTTCCTTCCACCCCGGTACCCATATCTGTTTCCAAGATTCTTTCCAAACTAATTTTTTATCCTCTATCCACTCCTGCTTTTGTTCTGTTTTCCAAATTTGCTTCCAATCTTCCTTCCATTCGAGTTTCTTATCCGACACCCAAATTTGCTTCTTACCGGGCTTCCAAATTTGTTTCCATTCCTCCTTCCAGGCCAATTTTTTATCCTCTACCCAGATTTGCTTCTTCGCAGGTTTCCATATTTGCTTCCACTCTTCCTTCCATTCGAGTTTCTTGTCTTCCACCCAAATCTGCTTTTTCGCTGGCTTCCATATCTTCTTCCACAAAGGTTTCCAGATTAATTTCTTTTTCCAAAGGTCATGGCTAGTATATTGCCATCCATGGGAATCGGTACCAAGATGTTTTTCACCTGGTATTCCAACTTTTATCCATTCTGGAATCCAAGTCTTCTTCCACGCTGGTACTTGAATGTCTTTCCAAGCCGGAACCTTAATAGGCACCCATATTGGCTTATAGACTTTTTTCCAATCGGGAACCTGTATTTCTTTCCAAGCAGGTACTTTTATCGGTACCCAGATTGGTTTATATACTTTTTTCCAAGCTGGGACTTTAATTTCTTTCCAGGCTGGCACTTGAATTTCTTTCCACACTGGCTTCCAAACCTTCTTCCAGGCTGGTACTTGAATGTCTCGCCATACAGCTTTCTTAGTAGGATGCCATTCGGGTTTATAGATTTTTTTCCACGCTGGCTTCCAGATTTGTTTTTGAGCAGGTTTCCAAACTTTCTTCCAGCCAGGTTTCCAAATCAACTTCTTCTTCCAATATCCTTTATCGTGATGATGATCATCGTGATCCCCGTGGCCTCCGTAACTTCCTGCATCTCCACTTACGTAGTCAGCTCCGTTACCTCCATGATTGCTACCTCCGTTAAAATTATTTATACCAGCACCTCCATGCTCATTCCCATATCCACCATCTCCGTGATTGATGCCTCCTCCGATATCACCGCCCCCGTGATGATCGCCATCACCGAAACCGCCGCCTCCATGGTGATCACCGCCACCGAAACCGCTGCCTCCATGCTGATCAACGCCACCGAAACCGGCGCCTCCATGCTGATTACCACCACTGAAACCGCCAGCTCCAATGTCACTGATTACACCGCCATGGCCATCACTCCCACCGCCACCGTAACTATTGCCTGCAAAACCTTCGTTGCCCCCGTGTTGATGTCCATCTCCATAACCATTGTTTCCTCCATGGTGATTGTCGCCGCCGAAATTATTGCCAGCGAAATTAGCGCTTCCAAAGTCATTGAATGCACTGCCGTGACCAATATTCCCAGCGCCTCCGTAGCTGTCAGCAGCGGCATTATGGCCACCGTCAGTGTAGCCCCCACTACCGGCAACATTTCCATTTCCACCGTAATCACCTCCTCCGAAACCTCCGACGTTTCCATGGTGGTTGCCACCTCCAAATCCATCGCCTCCCCCGAAACCACCTTCACCCCCATATCCGACACGTTTTTCGATAGTTTGTGCACTGTAGCTACAATAAACAACATTATTATCGAAAACTTTAGTATTAAATCCATAAATGTATGAGAAAATAATTATGTTTTGTCAGCATTAAACGTCTATGCCATTAAATAAATAAGAACTTTAACGTTTAGACGTTTAGACCTAAATTTACATCTTAAAAAAAAAACTCTTTCTAAATTTGTTCATCAGTAATTATTTAATTGCACTACCAACTCTTCTTTTATAATTATCAAAAAATAATTAAAAATTTATCAAGGGCTTAATAAAGTGAACGCGTTAACATAAATGTACCAAATAAATTATTACTTCGATAATTGCCAAATATCATATTTTACATAATACATGTATATTGATTTACTTAAATGCGTAAGGTTATTTTATCGTTACATTAAAGAAAAATAAATTACAAGAATTAGAAATATTTATGAATTTTATGATCCGGGTATTTTGTAAGTTGAAATAAATAGAACATACAAGAGATAAATTAATAAATGAGAGGTACGAGGTGAATGAAAAGAAAAAAGAAAGAAAAATTTTACAATTATCCATCGTCTAAGTAATTATTTGTCTTATTCATGCAAATATAAAATACGATTATCCGTATTATAGATATCGCTGAGAATATAAATCAGTAAGTTAAATAAAAGTCCATTTAAACAAAAAAAAAAAAAAAAAATATTAAAACGCTTGACATGTCACATAAAACAAATCGCATTGATATCCCGTACCACTACCACCTGCATTCGGTTTACATTAATCCATTAATATTGCAAAAATGGGCAAATGCAAATTTGATTGGTAATGCATGTAAAACAAGTTTCAAATTTATAAAAATACGGTTTCGCGTATCAAAACAGCCTACGCAATGTGAATGGCAGGTAGGAACGGTACATGTCACTTTCGTCGAGCAATTAGCAGCTCGCCGCTCTATGCCATACAAAAGAAAGTGAAATGGCTTTGGACTAACTTACGGGATCTGCTGCTGTGACTGCGGCTGCAGCAGCTGCTTCTGGTCCAATGCTTTGCTCGCCACAAGTGCGACCTGCAGTAGCAACGCTAGCGCGGCCTGTAAAATCCATCAATTATGTGCTTAATAAAAGGACAGGCCAAGCTCGCAAACATGTAAATATTTGCGCATATCCAAGCAAACGCGTATGTGTATTTAGTGTTATTACGATGGTGTGAGGGGTATGTAGGATAATCGCCGACAAGCAATCTATCGATTTTGTGCTTTTCTACGCTTAATGAACTTTCTCGATGAACCCAAAGGTATAACGCCTCTCGCGTAATCCGCTCCACTTTTTCACATCGCGTCGCGAGAAAGCGCAGAAAGTGACATTGTATATGTATGTGTAACAGGTACCGGAGCCGCTAATTCTCGATATGAATATAGTAAGCCATTTTATTTCCATAATTATAGGCAAAAAACAAAAAAAAAACAAAAAAACAAAAAAACAAAAAAAACAAAAAACAAAACTGACTACAACTGTATTAAAAGATGTATATAATGAAGAGGTCAGACGTAAAGTATAATTTTTTTTATCATACCAATATCTATTACTAATGACTGTGTGAGAAACTATAATTTTCTAATTTTTTTCCCTGGCAGTTTACGTGCAAAAGAACTAAGTTTTTCAATTTATTTCCCAACTAATTTAATTTTTGCAATTTTGTAAATAAAAACTAAATAGCTCAATATTTATTATTACAATGTGATTTAATATTATTCCTGAATATTTCCTCTATAAATATATAATAAACGCTATCATATATACTCATAACTTATTTCACTAAACAAATATTAATTATTAACAAAATTAAAATTTAACGCAATGAGATTATAATAATATTTCTCCTTTCTATATTGGATTTAGAAAAGTAACTTATATCTATCTAATATTTATAATAAATTAATAAATAAAACATAAAAGATAATTAAGAACATTAGATATTTGCATAAAATTTTTAGACAGCAATAAACATATTTTAGTTTAATGTAAGGTATGTTTTGCAATAAATATGCAATTAACATTAATAAATAAACATCAATATTCCAAACGACCGTTTAACGAAAGTTATATTTACATTAATTTTTATTATCTTTAACATAATGTTGTATTACCATTTGATTAATAGTAAATTATGCATTTTAATATTTGAATAAATTAAACTTATAAGCATAAATTTTAAATTATAATTGTTTTAAATTACAATTATTTAATATCAAATAAAAAATATTTCAATTGATTAATAGTAATTAATATAAGGACATGGGATAGCAATTTAATTAAAAAAATTAAAACGTTTTGTTTAATAAACGATATTTATAAAAATTGCAATTAAAATTAAACTTCTAATGCTAAATTAAACTTTCTCTTTTTTTTCATTATAACTTTTACAATGAAAATTAAAATTTCTATAAATTGCATGTATTTCGAGAAATGGAAAAACTAGTTTATTCAGAGTTGTGTTTTCTTAGTAATAATACTTAATAATATCTTTAGTATTTAATAATAATAAATAACAATGTAAAGCTACCTTAGAATGATATTCTGTACGTAATGTGTGGGGGGGGGGGATTCTGTGCGCGGGCGTGAATGCACGCGTATAAATTTGATTCATATAATCAGTTTCGCTTAACAAGTACTCTATATTTTTAGTCAAATGTTGATTAATTATTCCAAGCAAAGTAAAATAAACATTCGATTTATTATTATATGTAATATAATTTTTCTACATAATTTGCATGTTAATCTGCTAAAGTATGAAGTACGAATTTCTAAAATTCTATATATGTGTATCCTTAGAATATGCAATATGTATTAGAGGTGGAAATTTACATCAAATGTTCCACCATACTATGCAAAAACTTCAAAGAAAAAAAAAACTAAATATACAAGAATTAATACATTCATCCGTAATGTGTGAACATTGATTTTATAATATATTTATATTATATATTATTTTATTTTATAAAAAGATTGATTTTATAAATATAGTTATAACCGAGATATTTGGTCGTGCTAGTTTAATAAGTTAGCAAATTATTTTATAAAATTATGTCTCAATCGATCATTTATTAATGTTGTGGTAACTGTTAAATACTTGTTAAACAAAATAGTAACTATTGATAAATAGTCAGCAAATGTAAACAAGTGTGTTGCAAACGAACGCGCCAAAGTTCCCTTGGCGCACATGCGAAATTTCGCCCCTCTCTCTCTCTCTCTCTCTCTCTCTCTCTCTCTCTCTTTATTCATCGCGTAGTTAATGAAAAATGTCGAAAAAGGGCACCATGAATTCGTCTGCAACACACTTTTCTACGTCACAGAAACATTTTCCGCGCACCGCAAGTCATTATTATCGTCTATGGCACACTACCAGCCGTAACACTCGTCTCGGATTGTCCCTTACAAGCTCCAGCCAAGGTGAAAAGGTTAAAGGGTATTAGCTATTGACTGGATTATAAGTCGCAAAAGGTTTTATCAAAAATGATTGGAAAAACTAACCGCGCATCCAGGGCGAATCCTCATGATGAACGGCAGTGAAGCCCGCTGGGGCTCGCGTGCGCCTTTGGGGTTTCCTAGTCGCGGGAAAACGTGGACTTAAACTTCAGTCAATAAGCCGGAACGCCGAGGTTATATAGGCGCGTATTCTCCTACCCTGGCGGACCCAAAAAGCGAGGGCCTCCGATCGCGGTGGTGGTGGCGTTGACTGCCCCTCCTGCAGCGCGCGCACATAGGACGTCCGGAGGAAGGCGGATCCCGTCCAGGATCCCCCCGTTTGGTGGCGAGCGACACTCGTCCTTTCCTTTCGCCTTTCATCGGTGCGCGCTCGCACCGGCCGCGGTTTTCTTCTCTCGAGAGCGAGAACCCGAGCGCCACGCGGGAATTATCGAGGCCTCCCCGTCCACTTGGGAAAATACCGCGCACGAGAAAGATTTCCTTCCTCCGGAGCAGCCTCGTAGCGTTTCTCGATCTCCGTATCCTACCAGCAGTTTTTCTGGACAAAGTGGGACTCGCGCTGGCCTTTGTTTGAAGAAGCTCCGAGGAAGTAACTGGGCCTTGGGTTGCATCGGCAAAGATCCGTTATGTACATTCTAACACAATTTCTGTCTTGTGGCGGTGTTGGGTAACACTTTAACTTCTTCTTTCTACGACTATTTGAGCACAATTGTATGTACTTGGTTGCTTTAAAAATGTTATAATTGCTAAGTTAACCAAAAATTTTCTTAGATTTGAGACACTTTTTAAAAAATATAATTTAATATCAAGCTATTCGTGTGCTTATGGCGATTGAGAATTTATTCTTACATTTATTGAAAGGAGCATGTTATGGGGAAAAAATTTTTTTTTTTTTTATTTCTTTTTTCAATATATCCTAATTAAATTCTTGAAACTGTTTTTATCTATTCTATTTAAACAAGCCAATATTTTCTTCTCCGGAAGTTAGCTGTAGTTTGATTATGTCTATTGAAGGTAATAATATCTTATGTAACAATGACAATTGTTAATCATTCTAAATGCAGCATCAATCGTGTCAATCTATCATTCAGTGAATGTATAAGATGATAAATTTAAGAGGACGGAAGGCAATTATCGAAGAAAGTCCGATACTTGAGTTAAATTACTCCTCCTCATACAAATACTCGTTTGATTATCTGAGAAGTACATTATTTATTAATGGAAAGAGAAAATGTAAATTTAATAATTAATAATAAAATGCTTTATACTCGCCAATATTATGAAAAATATTACGTAAAAATCATCGATTTAATAGAAGTAATTTATTGGTAATAGTTGCGTAACATACATATTATTATAAATGGATAAGAAAAGTTGATATCATCTTATTAAATTAAAAATTACGTTCACGAAAATAAGTTCGTGTTAATTCAACACTAAATATTTCTCAAATCACCTATTCAGCAAGAAAGCTCTTATATAATGTATGACAAATTAAATTGTGAGAGCCATTACCATTGTGAGCACTCTATTTGAAAAGAATAATATACATTTATCATAAAATGTACATTAAATTAAATAAATGGGTATCACTAATATTTAAAATCTAGAAAAGATTTTTCTATATTTTATTAATTAATTCATCTTATTAATTATATTAACTACGTAAAAAAAAAAAATTTAATTTAATTTAAAAAAATTTAATAATTAAATTAAATTTAGGTCAAAAGAACACCTAACTTACATAACAAAAAAAATCTTTCACTTTATTTAATTTTTTTCCGTAAGTTATTTAAGCTTACTGAAACAATTTTTTCAAATTTCATATAATACGAAATTTATAATACAATGCATTATTATTATTAATGTTTCATGGAAATAGAAGAAACTTAAAATATTGTGTGAAAAATTTATAATAGAATTTATATTCTAAATAATATTATTAAAAAAAAAAAAAAAAAAAAAAAAAAAAAAAAAAAAAAAAAAAAAAAAAAAAAAATAAACAAGTAATTTTTAACGAGTGATTGACGTGCATATACTTAGCAACAAGTTAATAACTTTTAACGAAATTAATTTTGGCTTATTCAATTATTAAATGATAGTTTGTATTATGAACATTATAAGTATAATAATTCATAAATGTGTATAGTATTAATTGAAAATGATATTCAATTAATTTTAATAAATATTATTTTTTGATTATTATTTATACATAATTACAACGCCATTGAAATAAATTAAAATTTATCAGTTGATAAATTGTAATTTTGTGTAAATAAATGTGTAATTTTATATTACTTCTACTCAAGAATTCCTGCATAGAGTAAAATGAATGCAAATTTTTAATTTATCAATAATTTGAAATAAATTGAATATCTTCGTACGTAATGTAATTATTTTATTTTTATATTTTAATCATTTTTATTTTTTTTTATGCATCATTTGAATGGATTAAGTTCAATATTCTCATATTATTAACTTAAGATACTTTTATACGTAATATTTTCTATATAATAAATTTTATAAAAATTTATGTAGCAATTATAGAACAAATTTAAAGTATTTTATCAAATTTCGTGATATAATTACAATTTAATACAAGAATAATAATTTAATTATAAACTATAAAGACGCAGCAATTTCTCTTTTATTCCAAAATACTTAGTAATAAGTAGGCAATTTTCAATTTCATGTTGTAATTATTTATCAATATTTTCAAATAAATAGAATAAAATGAATAAATTATCATTATTTATTAATAAATTAATTAAAATTATTTTTTACGTAATAATGTTCTTGATTTATGTTAAAATGTATAAAGTTTTTTTTTTAAATAACAGAATATATATTGAAATAAATACAAAAATATATTGCTAAACGTTCAAAAAGTTTTATAAGCGATTATAATAATCGTATCGCTTAAATGATTGTTAATCGAAAAGATCACAGCAGATTAATTCACATTTTCATATAATTTTTTTATTTATCAAATTTTTAAAGCCACATAAATAATGAAAAAAGAATATAAAAAAAAAAAGAAAATTAAAAACATATTTCCTTCATTTTTATAAAAATATATCTAAATGAAATAAATTTAAATTAATTCTTTCTTAATTTTTTATGCTATTCATTTACAATTTGCTATTCTTCTAAGTTATTTATTATTTCATTTATTTGTACTTATTTGGTCGTTGTAATATTTGTTATTTTTAGAATTAAATTAATATGTTCATATATTTATTATTGGACAAAAATAGCATAAAGGGACTGGAATTCTGACTTAAGCCTTTCATTGCCGTATTTAAATATATATATATATATATATATATATATATATATATATATAAAGTGAAATGAATTTCAATTAAATTGTTTCCTAATTAATTAAAAAGGTCAGAAATCTATCGAAATAATTAATATTCATCTAAGCGCGTATCGAATATTATTTATAGTAGTTAATTTCATCATAGCTAGTTACGTGTATAGCACTATTATTAATGCTACTTAGTTATCATGTTTATAGTTATAATTTCTTACTCACTCGATGCTTGAAATCAAGATTTTCATTTATAACAACCATTAATACTATACAGACAATTCTTAAAATATCCCATACACTTTATCAAATTTTCATTCGTACAGATTAATCATGACAACATCTAAATAAAAATCCTGTTAAGTCTCATTCATCTCATAAAGAGACAAAACTAACTAGCGATTCAATAATATCGGTAGGTTCTCAAGCGAAAGTAAAAAATTCACTGCTCTAAATAAAAACGAATTCCGAGAAATTGGCATTAATGCGGAACAAGCGATCGAAGGGGGAAAAAATGTAGATTTCCTTACATTGGCCATTGAGGTACATTGGTAGTTACGTTAACAGGGAAAACCCGGTGGACTCGCGTCGGCGCAGGCTAAAAGGGGTTTCGACCTCACAAGACGTCGATTCATCGCGTGCCCCATAGGAGAAAGTAATCGGAAACTGGATGGATGGTCTGCTGCTGCTGCTGCTGCTGCTGCTGCTGCTGCTGCTAAAAGAAAAAGTTAGGCAAGCCTCTTACCACTTACGCTTGCGAAGTTCACGCGCAAGGTTACATGGCAAGGTTATACACGGCACTCGCTATCCCTCTCCCTTCCCAGCGCTCTCTTTTTCGGCGTGAAAATTAAGGAACGGTGGACGACTTTCGACATACGTCGAGAATTCAACGAGCTGTTACGTACAATGGCGCTCTCTTCTCCGTGCAATGTTCTTTACGAATGCATTACACAAACCCATCGGAGGAAGATGTATTTCAAATGATAGTGTATTTTACTTCGATATTCTCCGAGCTGCGCTAATGTATATTTAAAAGATAATCGATTAATCGTAAGGCGATGATGGAGAGAGATAGGTGTCGGCAGGGGGGGGGGGGATATAAACAGCGAGATGATTTGTTGTTTTAATTTTTTCGAGATTTTAGCATAATTATAGCTTTTACTTTGGCGCTTACGTAATACATCACAGCGTTCATTCAAGCGTTAAAAATGATAAAACCTCGAGTACAATATAATGAAATAATGAAATCTGTAAAAGCATCGTTTGTGTCCAAAAGATTTATTTCAAATATCATGATTAGACTCTTAAAAAAAAAAAAAGACAAAAAAAAGACAAAAAAAAAACGGAACAATTTCTTGTTAATATCGTATTTCGAATCGATGTATTCATTTTACTAGATATTTAGCTAACAACAAAATAAATATAAATTTCAACGATGAAGAATCAAAGGATAATTATTTAATTAGGGATATTTGATATTAAATTTGATATTAAATTAATATTAAAGTTTATTCGAGTAGCGTTCGATCTTTTATAAATCTACTAGTCATTGATTCATTCAATTTAATAGTGCATTGATTGAATTAAATGGGTAATTCATGTGAAAAATAATACTATAAAATAGAATAATATAATAGTGGATAGAAGGAAAGAAGAAAAACTGATTAATTTGACAAAGCCCAACAATTTATTTATCATTGCAAAATAAAAAACGTATCCATGAAAATAAATCTTTTTAAGAGTTAATTTTTTAGATCTTATCTTGTACAAATGTAAAAAGCAATTAGATCTCTACGTAATGCTTAATTGAAGTTTTAAAAGGCATAAATAGTA